CTCTCATACAAGCTGCTTGGATCCTACTACTCTTATACAGGGCCATACCTGCTGGGCTGCTGCCTGTTGAAGGATGGATGTCGGAGGTCAAGGAGCGTCGGAGCCAATGTATATTGCAGTTGCTGAAGGACGGAGGTTGAGTGACTCGAATCACGGTGTCGATTTTCTCTCTCACGGTCGAACCTCCCGGCTTCCAGTTTGCAGCACCGCCGCTTCTTCCGTCTAGGTTTATGGTAAGATTAGGTTAATTTCAAAGAAGGGGGATGTGGGGAGGAATGTGAGTGGTGAGTGAAGTGATTTTTTCTTCCTATTTTCATTCCTTTCATCTTCTTTTTAGGCTTTTCTTTTTTTTAATCCAAATGTCCATATCACTGGCAGTTTGTACAAATTTTAAGTGTAGTTAAATCTATATTAATTCTAAACATGTATGGTATTTAAATTATGTACATGGGCAAAAAGTCCAAAATTGCCAATCTTGAAAAGACTAAAAAAAAGTGTCATTTTTGTAAATGTAAAGCCAAAAATTGACATATTGTGTAATTTCCTCTAGAAAATTTCATACTATGTAACGTTTTTGTAAAAAGTTACATCATGATTATCGATTTATTTGACATGGCATGTTTTGACCAAGGTTGCTCACGAGCACCAATGTTGATTTGTTGGCTTTTGACTGATTCTTTTAAGAACATTTCATTTGCAACCTATCACATTTCAAATAGCCACGATTGTTAGCAATGTAAAATTTTCTTAATTATAAGCTCGTCAATATACATTACTAAATCATATTGTATAAACCAATTCATATGCCTATACTTTACAAGGAAGATCAATCATGATGAGATTCAGCACAATACATACAAGGTAAGATCAATAAGTGAACACTAATTATCAACCACTATTCATACAACTAAAAATTTGACTTTAATCTCCACCAAATATGGGCAAAATCATAATAAATTTTAATATAATTTTCATCATTTTATTACGAAATTTTATATGGAATATGATATCAAAAATTTTCGAAATTTTAGATATAAATTTTCGGATGTAAAATTACATGGGGTATGACTTTTTTGGACGTAAATTTTCGATTGTAAAAATTTTCTCTCAACTTTTTTGCAAGTTCGATTGTACCTTTCTAACTTTTAAGGTCTGCATTCACCCTTGCTTGAGGGTGTCTTCGAAAATCAAAGGGAATGGATGTACAACCTCATTCAAATATGAATGAATGAAAAATACTCAAATTCATATTTCAACCTCAAAAACAATGTTTAAGTCATATTACCTCAAAAATTCTACGTCCGTAGTTTTTCAAGTTTGAAGTTCCTTAAACACTCCCACATTTTCATTTGGATTTATTGACTAAAACTTAACAAGGATTCACCAAAAAGTCAAGGAGTAACAATGCAAGAGAAGATTCTTGCTACAAATTCACCAAAATTGTCCCCTTTTCTTTTGTTTGTGTCCAATAAAATTGCATCTTTACCCCCTCGACCATTCTTGAGTTGAAGCAACGTATTATCTACTTTTCCCTTCGGTTTGCAAATTTTTAAATGATTTATAAATTTGTCAAATTTTATTTTACTTTCAACAGCGCACTTTAATGAAATCATATTTATAATTAGACTGTTTATAAATTCGAGCTATACCGGTTTAATTTACCCGAAAAAAATTGGAAAATTAGACTTTAATAGAGGGAAAAATTCATGGATCATGTATTATCTATCATAAAATTAAAAATCAGGCCTCAAGTTTTAAAATTGTAAAAATCAGGTTTTCCATGAATTAATTAATTATATTTCACAATTATTATATTAAATTAAATATTAAACTGTAATATAATATAATTAACCAATCCCTCTACTCCGACGACTACTCCGGTGACCGGCAACAACTCCGGCGATTTTTTCGAGGTCACAGATCAAAAATTTTGTAGGTCACGTCATTTAATATGGGAAAAATTTACAACTCAGGCTTTATCTATCTCAAAATCAAAAATCAGGTCCCAAGGTTTAGAATTGCAAAAATCAGGTTTTTCATAAATTAATTAATTATATTTCACAATTATTATATTAAATTAAATATTAAACTGTAATAAAATATAATTAATCCACCCCACCCCCACCTCCCCAACCGCTCCGACGACTACTCATGTGATCGACAATCACTCTGACGACTGTTCTCCGATCGCGCTTAATTTCGACGACTATTCCAATGACTGTTCCGTCGTCACTTAAATCCGGTAACTGCTCCGATTCCAATATCACAGATATCTTATTAAGTAATTAAAAATTTAATTTTAGGTCACAACTTATCAAATTAATTGGTCAGAAATTATTTTGAAATCACAAATCTAAAAATTTATAGGTTACAATTGACTCTATTGGTCACTGATCAAAACAAAAATTATAGGTCACAGAGATCACATATTTCCAAATTTGTTGGTAACAGATTATATTTTGAGTCACAAATTAACGAATTTTAAGGTCACAGACCACATAGTTGGTCACATACACCCAAACACCAATCCCCTAATCCTAGTACACCATCAATACTTGATCACAGATCGATCAAATAGTTGGTCACAGACATTCTTCGTCCCATTTGTCTGCCGCCGCCACCTCCACTGCCACAACCACTACCAATAATAACACCACCAACAACCATCACCTAAACCATCACTGTCGCCGCCTACACAGCACCATCATCATCGTCTCCTCGTCACAACACCACTACAACCACCACCATAATAATAAATCATTGGTCACAGACACACCCAATCTCATCTCATCCCGCCACGACCATCCCACCACCACGCACACTACAAAAAATCACATTCAACACCAAATCCAACAAAACCACCGCCTCAAATCCAAAAAAAAACCCAAATTCGTCGGCACAATTACAACCCGACTATTCTGAGACATTTTCGGCGCTGCCAAACCTCACCACATAAGGGGGAGGGGGATAGATTCAACCGTGGGAGCAGGGGATGGAGATTTCTCTGGTGCAGGTCCCAGCATCGGAGCCTTTCCGAAAAGCTCTATTGAAAGAAGCAAGCTATCGACGGTGAAAATGCAAAGCGGAGTTGAGTCAAGGACTGTGGAAGCGACTCTGGACGTGTCAACTCTGGTGTCGAGGCTCACTGAGTCACCTGTAGTCGCAACGCTCAAATCATACTTCCCGACGCCGTTCATAGCCAAGGTAGAAATCGACCTCTTCGTGGTTTTTAATGTTCTGATAGAAGTATAGCTGGCAAAGGCGTGATACTGCAAGAGCGACACCACTTCAGCATTTGAAAGCTTGTTCAGATCTGGCACTTTGGCCGCCTTGAAAAGACGGAAGGGGGAGTGGGAGAAAAGACGGAAGAGAGAGGATGAGAAGAAAAATGATTAAGGTTTGGGAGATGGATTGAAATTTGGTGGGATAGGTGGTATGGTGGATATATAGATTAATTTATTTTAAAATATTATTATTAATATTAATTATGAAATTAAAATCTAATTTTTGATTAAATAAAGTATAAACCCGATTTTCAGAAACCTAAAACTAAACAATTGTTTCTAGTGGAAATTGCATGTACCCCTACTTTTCAAGATGCAAGTTCAAAAATCAGATTTTAAGTTTTAATGTTTGCAAGTTCAAAAATCAGATTTTAAGTTTTAATTTTCAAAAATCAGATATTTTATAGATAGATACAGATTTTTATATTTAATTAAATATTAATAATAATATTATAAAAAATAATTTATATACACCCACCCCTAAAATTTAATTATCAAACCCTAACCCTGATTCTCTCCTCTCCCCATCTCTTTCTCTCTGTTAAATCATCTCCCGTCTCGTTTCTCTCTCTCTCTCCATCCCTCATCTCTTCTCTCATGAATAGGCCACCACCGCCGTCGCTGCTGTCACGCCACCACCGCCGTCGCTAATTCTCTCCTCTTCCCATCTCTCCCTCCCTATCTCTCTGGTCTCCTTCACTGAGCCGAATTGGGAGCTGCAATGTTAGGATCGGAGTTGCTGCGGCGAGGACCCACAACTGGAGAGCACCTGTGCAGTCACCGGAGCTACAACGAATTTAATCTATTTTGCACACGATCGTTGACAGTGGTTAGTTTTATTGCAGATCTGACTTGAAAATGGTGGATTTAGGGACTGATTTGTGGTGTATGTGCAGATGGTAGTGTTGGGGTTAGGGATTTTATTGGTAGGGTGGTGGCTGTGATGTGGCAGTGGAGTGATTTTTGGTGTTGGTGGTGTGGTGGTGGCGTTGTCGGCCACCGTGAGAGGATGGCAGCAAGTGATGGTGGGGACATTGGAGGTGGTAATGGTATGTGACCCATTAGTTGACCCGTGGTGATGGTGGTACATGATCCAGTAGTTGACCTGTGACCAATTAGTTAACCGTGACCCTTAAAATTCGATTTGTGACTCAAAATTAATTAAGTTGTCACCGAAAAATTTAGGTGTGATCATTTGAAAATAACATGTGATCCTTATAAAAAAAATAAAAATAACTCGTGATTATAAACAAAATTCTGATTTGTGATCTAGACTGTGACCTGTGACCTGAGTAGTGACTTGAGCTATGACTTGTGACCTAAGTCATCAGAATCAGAGCAGTCGTCGAAACGGTCACGGGAATCGGAGCGGTCGCCGAAATCGGCACCGGAGCAGTCGCCGAAATAATCGTTGGAGTGGTAGGGTGGGGGTGGTGGGGGAATGTGAAAGTTGTTTTGTTATTTTTGAAATAGGGTAAAAATAAAGTAGGAGAAATGAATTTTCCCCTTGTTTCTATGTAATTTTCCCTTTGACAAATGAGTAATGACTAAAGCTAAAATACGGCCCAGTTAATCCGGTTCCAGGGCCCAGTCCATTCGGTTCCACCTCTCCCCTGACTAAACCGATGGCACCAGACGCTTTAGGCCTCTCTTAGCCGTGAAGGACGTGTTATGCTCGAGTTCTTGTAATAGCAAGCGTTCCACCCCTGTACAAAGATGACATCGTCAAAGTCCAGCCGGAGACGCAGACGCCGCCGGGACTATTCGGGTTCGGATTCTGCATCCGACTCAACTTTGGAGTCGGATAGAAACCAACGCAGGAGCCGGAGTCGAAATCGCAGCAGTAGCCGACGATTAGACTCCGATGATTCTGAAAGTGACACCCATGAGCGATCGAGGAAGAATAGCAAGAGGAAGATTACAGAGGAAGAAATTTCTGAATACCTAGCTAAAAAGGCTCAGAAAAAGGTATTATACTTCCCCCAAATTTGTTTATGCCTTTTCAGTCAATTCCGTATAGTGTTTTTCTGCATTTTAACTAATTGGTTACTTTGTTAGGCTATGAAAGTCGCCAAGAAGTTGAAGTCACAAACAGTGTCTGGATATTCCAACGATTCAAATCCCTTTGGCGATTCCAACCTTAATGAGAGGTGAGTTCATCTTAATTTTTCTCAAGCCTTGAGCTCTATGTTACTAACGAGTAACCTTATCTGAAGATGTGAATACAATTTCAATTTCATCAGGTAGCAGTTTTGTTTATTCGGTCATGCAGTTAATTGATTTTTGGGAAATTCTGTAATCATAGTTTTATTAAACGGACCCATTAGGCTACCTAAAGCAGCTGTAGCCTTTTCTGTTAGTATGAACCCTTTGGATGGTCGGTATCTACTGTCGAGGACTGAACAGAGTGAATGTTCACTTGCCGCAATCCTTGATGGTGGTGTGATTCCTGGCCTTGCGACACTTAGATGGTCTTGCTGTAAGGCGTTCAAGATTTATTTGGCCGACTCTGTGCTGTGTTACTGTGCAAGTTTTAAAAGTCAAAACTAAACAGCTGGTTTAGTGTAATTTCCACTAAATACCTTCCCATGAATTTTTCCCTAAAGCTAAAATACGGCCCAGTTAATCCGGTTCCAGGGCCCAGTCCATTCGGTTCCACCTCTATCCAGACTAAACAAATGGCACCAGACCCTTTAAGCCTTTCTTAGCCGTGAAGGACGTGTTATGCTCGAGTCCTTGTAATAGCAGGCGTTCCACCCCTGTACAAAGATGACATCGTCAAAGTCCAGCCGGAGACGCAGACGCCGCCGGGACTATTCGGGCTCGGATTCTGCATCCGACTCAACTTTGGAGTCGGATAGAAACCAACGCAGGAGCCGGAGTCGAAATCGCAGCAGTAGCCGACGATTAGACTCCGATGATTCTGAAAGTGACACCCATGAACGATCGAGGAAGAATAGCAAGAGGAAGATTACAGAGGAAGAAATTTCTGAATACCTAGCTAAAAAGGCTCAGAAAAAGGTATTGTGATTCTCCTTTATACTTCCCCCAAATTTGTTTATGCCTTTTCAGTCAATTCCGTATAGTGTTTTTCTGCATTTTAACTAATTGGTTACTTTGTTAGGCTATGAAAGTCGCAAAGAAGTTGAAATCGCAAACAGTGTCTGGATATTCCAACGATTCAAATCCCTTTGGCGATTCTAACCTTAATGAGAGGTGAGTTCATCTTGTCCCTCTAGTTGCAATTTTTCTCAAGCCTTGAGCTCTATGTTACTAACGAGTAACCTTATCTGAAGATGTGAATACAATTTCAATTTCATCAGGTAGCAGTTTTGTTTATTCGGTCATGCAGTTAATTGATTGTTGGGAAATTCTGTAATCGTAGCTTTATTAAACGGACCCATTAGGCTACCTAAAGCAGCTGTAGCCTTTTCTGTAACGTGTGAACCCTTTGGATGGTCGGTATCTGCTGTCGAGGACTGAACAGAGTGAATGTTCACTTGCCGCAAACCTTGATGGTGGTGTGATTCCTGGCCTTGCGACACTTAGATGGTCATGCAGTAAGGCGTTCAAGATTTATTTGGCTGAGACACGACACAATGACACGTTCGTTAACATCAGGAGTAATGCTTACATGGAGGAATGGTTAATGGTTACCCTTGTTGGTAAAGCATGTTTCCTAATGTAAATTGATTTTTAGCTGGTTGTGCAAGTGATTGTTGGGTAATGCACAATAACTTCCTAGTAGTAGTGTAGAGTTCAGTTGTGATGGCTGCCACGTTCTCAGATTAGTTAGCAGTATTCTTAGGGAATTCATTTTATGGACTTAGGTTAGATTGTATGTTGGTGGTCAGTACGGATCTCATGCAATTTCTGATGGGGAATATGGTCATCCAAACTTTGTCTGTGTTGACTGGTCTTCAGATGGAAGTCATTCAGGACGGTCTGAGGGGTTGACCTATTGCTTGCTTGCTTTGGCAGGTTGTCTGCCTACTCTTTGGCAGACGGTATCCTTCCCTAAGTTTGTTGCCTTCTGGATTGCTGGACCTAAGCTAGTCTGGCCATGTCATCTGGTTGATGTTAACGTGTTGTCCAGGTCCGATGGGACCTTTACACCCTCTCCGTCAAATGTTAAATAGTTCATTGGAAATGTTCTGCAAATATCTCTTTCCTTGTCTACCTTTGTGCTCCTCTCTAATCTAAATGTTTGATGCTTAAGTAAAAGATGCATTGTTCTTACCCTTGAGCCTTTTTCACAAATTTGAAATATATGAATGACAGATTTGTCTGGCGGAAGAAGATAGAGCGTGATGTAACTCAGGGCTTGCCTCTGGACGATTTTTCTATGAAAGCTGAGAAGAAGAGGCAGAGGGAAAGAATGGTACCTGTTCCATGCCAGTTTTGTACTATGTTTTTTGGTTTTATCATGACCTTATAGTAATATAGTAATACGAAACATGCTATTTAAATTGTGTGTGTCATCTTCCTCATTTTCACGCTCTCCATTGCTATCTTTTCTTGTGGCCTTTCTAGATTTTTCATGACTGGAGAATGTGTCAGGCTATAATGATATAATTCATATACTCTCAAAATGAAGCAATGACTTCTGCCTCAAATATGATTCTAAAGGGACATGGAAAGTTAAAAATCGATAAGAAATATATCTCGGCTAAGAGAAAATTGCATTAGAGGAGTTAAGGTTTACTGTATATTCCCTTGGAAGATGTCAATGAGCTGTCTAGTATATACATCAGCACAAGCATGGTACAGAACATCACGATTACATTTTTCCTTAATTCCTCTTCACATGTTGAACTGTTCACTGTACTCTAATCATCAAGAAGTAATGATACTTTATTGAATCATATATATATATATATATGCCCTGTTTGATTTACATCATTATCTCATTAAAATGAAAAATATGACCGTTATCATCACATCAACATTTAAATTCAAATTTTCTATCTCTTATGTGGGACCCAATAGCGCCTATATTTTTCATTACATTCTACAATAATTTGGCTCAAACAGGGTCTATATATTGTTTCTTTTCCCCCTCTTTTCCTTGTTGCGGTCGTGATCACATGGGTTTTACTCTTGGATTTTGTTTTAGAAATTAACATGTTGTGGAACTTCCGAGTCCTTGTATCAACTTATGCTCTTTTTTCTCCAACTATCGATGGTTTTCGGGTCTTAATGGTCTATTTAACTGAAATGTGAAAGGATAATTTATTTAGTGATTTTATACTCTTCGTAATTGCATGCCTTACTGCCTTGTACAATTTTGATTTATTCCATGCGATCTTAAATATCGGTTTATTCCCTTGATAACATTGTATTGTGGTTCAGGTGCATTCTTCACTCAGAATATATTTATTTAAACTTTTTGTATTGAACGTAGGCCGAGATTGAGAAAGTGAAAAAGAGAAGGGAGGAAAGAGCTCTTGAGAAAGCACGACACGAGGAAGAGATGGTAGGATTTGATTGCATCTTTCGTGAAAACATGTTTTTCTGTGGAATGTTTGTTTTTGCTGTATTGTTGCAGATTTTTTTTATTTATTTATCTCTGTTACTCATACACCGAAGTTCAAATCCCAATGACCTTCAAATTGCAGGCATTGTTAGCAAGAGAGCGTGCTCGGGCTGAGTTCCAAGACTGGGAGAAGAAGGAAGAAGAGGTAGAGTGTTTGTTGGTTTCAGTGTTCTGTTACTTTTGTTTGTCTCTTGATGTACTACTTGGGAAACTGTGCTCTATTAATTTTCTAAAATTTACTTTCTGCTGACATGCTAACACATGTTATTTACAGTTCCATTTTGATCAAAGCAAAGTTAGGTCAGAGATCCGGTTACGTGAAGGTCGTACTAAGCCGATTGATGTACTCATTAAACATGTTGATCCTTCACATGAATTTGATATAGAAATAAATGAACCATACATGGTCTTCCAGGTAAACAACTCAATTTTTTTGTTTTTCCTGTCTTTGTTCCTTTTTCGTGCTACATGAGGAGAACGCTGAGAAAGCTTGTGAACATCTCTCTTAATATGAGCCTGTTAATTATGACGGTTCAAAAGTCATCACATTAAGATCCTAGTATGTTCAAGTGTTAGTGCACCTGTGAGTCTCATTGAGGATTTTTATATCAAGTAAAAAGTACGCAAATTAAAAGGAAAACAACTGTACTTTTCAAGTATCTCCTTCATTTATAGTAGTGTGAAGCTTCATGCAATCACTGGGTCTATCACTATTCTCTTGACGCCATATTGACATTTGACCATGATGTGCTTTATAAGGGTTTGAATGTAAATGAAATGGAGGAGCTTCATGAGGACATAAAGATGCACCTTGATTTGGACAGTGAAACTCAGACGCGGGTACAGTACTGGGAGGTATTATATTCTCTGTTTACTTGTACAGTATGATATATACAATCTTGGTAGATCTTACGTCTTCTTTATACTTGTGTAACACATCTTTTCGTTTCATATGAAGCATCGTGACATTTATTGCAATGCAATATTGTCTTGATTTTTGCTTATTTCTTGATTACTCAATGCATCTCCTATATTGTATTCAATCTTGCAACACTGCTTCAATAAAGCTTAAAACTTTGATGAAGTTATGGACAACGCTCAGATGTTTGACAATATTAATGATTAGTTCTGGTATTTCATAGCAGTGAGAACTTCAACATATTATTTTGCTCATACGTATTCTTTGTTTGTTCTTCAGCAATTCCTTGCAATTAGCTAGAAATGCAATTCATCATGGTATGGAAAAAACCTAAAAAACATTTGGAGGTTTCACAAGGGTCTTTGCAGAGTCATGTGTGCCTGCTTGCGAATTTGAAAACGTTACACAACACAAGATACTGTGTGAGAGTCAATCATATTTCATATTTTGATTTCTGTTGTACAATATTTAATATATTTTAGGTTAACAGGTAGTTGACCTGTCCTACAAAATGAAATTCTGGGCCTCCATATTTCACTCCTGTTTGTTTGCTGAAATTTTCTTCTGTAATTTTATTTGTCACATTAAACAGTGTACATGCACCTTAATATTGCATATTTACCCTTTACAGCCATAAATGTCGGACAATGTAACTCTGTTCGTGCTAATAATGTTGGCCCCAGAGTAATGTTAACACTTAACAAGGATTTCTCTTACATATATAAGTGTACCGACTCTAGAGGCCAAGCTCGTCTCTACAATTTCTTTTCCTTTCCACAACCTTTCAAGTGGGATGACAGGAGTCCTTTGTGTTCACCCCTCATTCGTGCTTAATCTCTTCAATGCTATATTGATTGCTATGGCTCATTTTTTGTCCGATACAACTACTATTGAAGTATTTAACCATTTGAAGTAGCCCTTTTTATGCTCTTACATTTCGTCTTTGTGCATATATATCATTCCACTGCTGGGATTGGTATTATCCAGTTTATGTTTTGTAAGGAATTGTTGTTCAGTATCACGGCGAATCTCCTCATATTTTTACTCATCCTTTCCCTTGTCTCATGGATGCATTTGCATTTGGGAAACATATGGATAGGGCTTCCATACAATATTATTTGGCGAGATGATTTCAATTTTTTACTCTTTAGTGGGGTTGGCTTCAAATAAATTGTGATGCATATGGAATTCGACAGGCGCTGCTGGTAGTTTCTGATTGGGAGCTAGCTGAAGCTAGAAAAAAAGATGCATTAGAACGTGCAAGAGTGCGTGGAGAGCAACTACCTCAGGAGTTGATTGCTGAAGAAAGGGGTTTGCACGCGAGTGTGGAAGCTGACGTGAAGAAGCTTTTACATGGAAAAACCTATGATGAACTACAAGCACTGCAATTCCAGATTGAGTCGCAAATGAGATCAGGGACTGCTAAGGTTGTCGAGTATTGGGAAGCCATTCTTAAACGTCTCCATATATACAAAGCAAAGGTACTTCGACATTACCTCTCGAGTCTCTGGCATTTGCTGCAGGACTCCGAAATAGCTTTATCAGTTCATCTATGTCACTGTAGGCTTGTCTGAAGGAAATCCATGCCAAAACGCTGCGGAAGCATTTGGAGTTCCTACAGAAGCCGTCAGAGGAAGGCAAAGATACGAAGATGGAACAGAATACCAGTCTTGAAGAGGAGGATTCTTATCAGGATGCAATGGGTAAGGCTAATGCCAATTTCTCAATTTGGCTGAATATTCAATAGTAAACTGACAGTTCTTTCATGTATAGGTGATGATGCTCTTTCTCCTGAACCCATAATGGATGAAGAGTCCCAGGAGGAAGAAGCAGTGGCAGGATCTTACTCACCACAACTGTTACACGGTGAAGAAGATGAAGATGCACTTGACCCTGAAGAGGACAGGGTTATGCTGGTATATCTATCTTTAAAGCCCTTTCACCTGCTATGTATGCTCTTTTTGGATTTCCGCATTAAACTATAAATTACGGAGTAAAATGTTTTCACTCGTTTGGTTGCAAGGTAACAAATATAGTAAGAAGAAAAATGAACTAATGCAATCAGTGAGGAAAAATATTATACTCCCTCTGTCCCATAAAAATAGTTGTGTCTTTCTTTTTTGTCAATCCCAAATTAAAGTCATGTTTCTTATTAAGATATAGTTAATATGTTAGTTTTCTAATATGTTCTTATTTAATGTTCTTTGTTATCACAAATATAAACCATTCCATTATTCAATTGTAGTTGGAACAATAAATTAAAAACCAAAAAATTTTTCATCTTCCATGACATTTATTCATTTGTATTTGTATTTGATGGTTTTGGAATGTTAATTACCTTGATTCTTAAACAATTACTAGTACAATGAATAGTTTAATTGCCTTGAATATTGCATGCATAATTTAATTACATTGAATATTGATTACATTAATGTAGGGGTATATTAGGAAAATTGATAGTAAAATTTATTATTTTAACTATATTAACTAAATTTCTTAATATGTGTGAAAAAAAAGAAATATGACTATCTTCATGTGATGGAGGGAGTAATTTTCAAGGAAACATGTTTGCTAGCTTAAAACTTGAAAGTGAGGGAACGGGGTAAAAAAACTGCCTACAATTTGATTGGGTTAACTCACATCTCTCCTCCCTCTTCCCAATAGGATCCACAGAGATATTCACACATATCCCATTATCAAATATGCTTGTTTTTCCTGCGCAACTATGTAAGATGAATGGTCAATTGACTTTGAAGAGGACATGATCAAACTTATGATGCTAGCTTAAAACCGCTTTCAGTTGCCATTCATGCTGTTTTTAGATTTCTGATTGAGGGTATGTAAAATGTTTTCACTTGGTGAAATCAACGAGGAAGATTTGTGTTGTTTTAGTGGAAACACATTTTCTTGCTAAAAGGCGAGACCACATTGATTTCAGACATGTGCACGCATATCCTATTATCAGTTGGACTTTTTCTTCCCAGTTATTCGTGGGCAATCAAACAAGATGTGCATTTTAATTTGCATTGGTTTCAATTTCATTTTTCCTTCTATTTTTTGCTAAGATACAATCAGAATGTTGCTGGACAGAATGAACCCAGTATCTTTTCATGAAAAAGGTATATTAAGATGGGCATGCCTTTGTATGTATGAACTAAACAACATACATGTACACATGTATTACACAGGAGAGGAAACGTATGGCTGTATTGGAGGAACGCCGAGTTCAAGAACTGGCTTCAAGGCCAACTCCCGAAGATAACTTTGAGAAGACGGCTATTAAAGCCATGGGAACCATGGAGGAAGGTGATGCCGTATTTGGTTCAACTGATGAAGTTAACCTTGATTCCCAGGTAGATGCATTAGCCTGTTGTATTGCATTCCCCTATGTTACGTTGACGAATAAAGAATTTCTTCAATTATTTTTGACACGTAAAAGTACACTAATATGCTTGTGGATGCAGGTGTACTGGTGGCATGATAAATATCGACCAAGAAAGCCCAAATATTTTAATCGTGTTCACACTGGTTATGAGTGGAACAAATACAATCAAACTCATTACGATCATGACAACCCGCCCCCCAAGATTGTGCAGGGATACAAATTTAATATTTTTTACCCAGATCTTGTTGATAAATCCAAAGCTCCTAATTACACCATAGAGAAGGATGGAGATAGTGCTGAGACTTGCATTATAAGGTTTCATGCAGGCCCCCCTTATGAAGACATAGTAAGTCCTCGTCTCCTTTTGTTTTCTAGTATATTTAATTGAAATTTTTTTGTCCATTAATGGTTAGTTCGGTTGGAAACTTATTGACTTGACTACGCCCCCTTACTGCTCACCTCGTCTGTGTGCTAGGCATTTCGAATTGTCAACAAAGAATGGGAGTACTCGCACAAGAAGGGCTTCAAGAGTACATTTGAACGCGGGATCTTGCATCTGTATTTCAACTTTAAACGTTATCGATACCGTCGGTGATGCTATTTCTGCACGGAAAATGGTAGAAGCTCGGATATATCACTAACTTATAATTTTTATGAGCTTATTTTATCGAACAATTTACATGTATAATTGGAAAATAGATTTTTGATGTTGTGAAGAGACGTGTATGCTATAGCTTTTTCAGTCATTCAGTAGATGATATGAAAAAAGAAATCCCATATAACTGGTGGCAAAAAAACTACCACGTGAGATTCAGACCTTGTTTGATGGCATTATTTTTCTGGTCATTGATTTGAATAAGTGGTTAGATTGCATGCCATATCATAAAATGTCAAACAAAATTGTCAATGTAGTAAAACTCCTGTTTGAGCCAAATTATAATAGAATGAGAATGAAAAATATATTCGTTATTGGGGTCCACACAAGAAATAGAAAATTTAAATTTAAATGTTGATTGATAGATAAATATCATATTTTTCATTTTAATGAAATAATAATGTAGATCAAACGGGAGCATTTGTATAAACATATGGTTGAAAATGCGAGTGAGAATTAATTTATTGAATTTGAAATAATGATTGTCAAATAAGGGCTCAATATTATTGATTTTAATATGTTAATAATTTTATCCAAACATTCCAAGTCCTTATTTGCTTTGTTTGAAAATCAGATCATCATTAAATTTTAATGAAAGTTAATGATTGTGATTGAAAAGAAGTAAAAGTTGCAAGTCTCGTAAAATATCTGATTGAAAATGAGTTTGAAAAAAAATAAATTTTGAAATATTGGGACTAAGCAGGGTTAAATATCCTCGATAGATCGTAATTAATTATTTATTAACGTGATTAATTTTTGTGTGAATTTCCTAACAAGGAAAAAGGAAAAGAAATAGTCGGGTCCGTGGATGGATTAAGCGGGTCTGGGTCCTGCTGAAGGGGCGGGTACGATACGAAATTCAAAATTCAAAACCAGAGGAGGGAAACACGTGCTGTCTAGGTGCCGTTGCAGGAGGAAGAAAAGGCAGTTGAAGATGCTCTCTCCAATTTTATAGAATTGCCATAAAAGCGTCCACCATTTCTTCATTCTATCAATTCAAAACCTGTAGAATTACTATAGGGTTTTTGGTCGATTACATCAATTTTGGCGCCTTTTAGAACACTGATAAATATATGGTTGAAAATGCGAGTGAGAATTAATTTAGAGTCCGTTTGATTGCAAAGTTGGAAAATTGGTGGAAAGAAAATGAATTGCAGGGAATTGAGTTGTCTAGAAATTATTTTATCGAGATTTGTGATTAATTGTGTTTGATTTGTATAATTTTTCACCTGAAAAATGTTGAAATCTTGGTATTCGTTTGACTTTGTTTTTATGAAAATTGTTCATTAAAATGATAACTTTTTCTTCCATTGGGTCGAGAATTTGTTTCAATTGCCAAAAAATTAAAAAATATTACAATTTTTTTTATTATACCGAATATCGTTTGTTTAGATTTGTTTTGCATGAAAATTGTCAATAAAAATAATAATTTTTTTTACTATTGTATCTAAAATTTTTTCTAATTGTAAAAAAACAAAAACAAATAAACCTAGAACAAATCTTCCCACCACTTCCGTGCAAAAATGATTTTAAGGAAAAGCAAGAAGATGTAACTGTGTGAGGAAAAGTGGGAAACACGTTTGCCTATAAAAAACTTATCAAACAAAGGAAAATGGAAAACAAATTTCATTTTCCATGGAATTGGCTCCCTATCATACACACTTACTGAATTCGAAATAATGGTTCTCAAATAAGGGCTCAATATTATTGATTTTAAAATGTTAATAATTTTATCCAAACGTTCCAAGTCCTTGTTTGCTTTGTCTTAAAATCAGATCATCATTAGATTTTAATGAAAGTTAATGATGTGTGATTGAAAAGAAGTAAAATTTGCAAGTCTCGTAAAATATCTGATTGAAAATGAGTTTGGGAAAAAATAAATTTTGAAATATTGGACTAAGCAGGGTTGAATATCCTCGATGGATCTTAATTAATTATTTATTAACGTGATTAATTTTTGTGTGAATAAATTCCTAACGAGGAAAAAGGAAAAGAAATAAAAAAGAAAAACTAGTCGGGTCCGTGGATGGATTAAGCGGGTCTGGGTCCTGCTAAAGGGGCGGGTCCCAGTTACGAAACGAAATTCAAAATTCAAAACCAGAGGAGGGAAACACGTGCTGTCTAGGTGCCGTTGCAGGAGGAAGAAAAGGCAGTTGAAGATGCTTTCTCCAATTTTATAGAATTGCCATAAAAGCGTCCACCATTTCTTCATTCTATCAATTCAAAACCTGTAGAATTACTGTAGGGTTTTTGGTCGATTACATCAAGAATCAACAGTCGAGGGTTACTGTAGAATTTGTGGTCGATTCAATTGAATCATCCATCATCAAAGAATGGAAAAGTACGAGAAACTGGAGAAGGTAGGAGAAGGGACGTATGGGAAGGTATACAAGGCTAAGGACAAGGCAACTGGGCAGCTTGTTGCCCTAAAGAAAACCCGTCTCGAGATGGACGAGGAGGGTGTCCCCCCCACAGCCCTTCGCGAGGTCTCTCTCCTTCAGATGCTCTCTCATTGTCTGTATGTGGTGCGTCTCATCTGTGTCGAGCACGTTGATAAGAATGGAAAACCCGTCCTCTACCTCGTATTTGAGTATCTTGATACTGATCTCAAAAAGTTTATTGACACATACCGTAAAGGCCCGAACCCTGGACCATTGCCGCCTACTCTCATCCAGAGCTTTCTTTACCAGCTTTGCAAGGGGGTGGCACACTGCCACAGTCATGGTGTCCTCCATCGGGATCTCAAACCCCAGAATCTACTTGTTGATAAGGAAAAAGGTATCCTCAAGATTGCGGATCTTGGGCTAGGCAGGGCTTTCACTGTTCCCCTCAAGAGCTATACCCACGAGGTGTGTAAATTTTTCTTTAATCGAGTTTCTTTTTGATTGATTGCGCAAAATAAATATACATAATTCACTGATCCAGTCTGTTTTTTTCTTTCTTTTTCCACGTCTTTTGTTTTTTATTTATGATTTATGTGCAGATAGTCACTCTCTGGTACAGAGCTCCTGAAGTTCTTCTGGGGTCCACTCATTACTCTACGGGTGTTGATATGTGGTCTGTTGGCTGTATTTTTGGTGAGAACTGGATTCTTCTTCCAAATATAATATATCTTGAGGAATTTAGTTATCCAATCTCAAAGAAGAAGATTTGTAGATTAGAAAAAAGTAATCATGCACTCTGTTGTTAATTCTGTTTTTTATTGCAGTAGATTTTGTAAAGATCACAGCCACTCTGTAGTTACAGTATCACTCTCTTAAATCATTGAATAACTAGAATTGTTTTCATTTTTATTTATTTTTTACTTCGTAGCTGAGATGGCAAGAAGACAGGCTTTATTTCCTGGGGATTCTGAGTTCCAGCAACTGCTCCACATATTTAGGTATACTTTAATCCTTACCGTTGGATTAGTCGATGGTTATGCAGACTCTTCTGCTTTATGATTGGCGATATTATGCTTTACATCTAAGGATCAGTTTGGTGGCTGAATCAATTATTTCCCCATTGCACTTCTTTGCACTTCGGTTGTCATGAAGTTTTAGTCATTCTAGTTTAAGTGAATTAATGAACATAGATTTAAGATATGGTTCTTATTTGCTTAGGTAAAACTTAAGTGCTAAACTATCAAGCTAAGATAAGACAGAGTGTTTGGTACAATATTATCAAACATAGATTTTGTTTGTAAATTAGGAGAGTAAATATTTTCGGTATGCTATGGTTGGAGTTCATATTATCGTAAATAAATGTAGTCTCATCTCTAGCTGCTTAAGCAGATGAGTTAATTTTATGTAGTATCACCTGCAAATGAAATGATGTGTTTTGCCTTTTTTATTTGCTTTATAATTATGTCTTTTAGGTAACCGGAAAAAATCATGGTATTCGGTAGTAGAATTGTGTGGTTTCCGGCTATGCTGCTCCTAGTTAATATTTCCTAAGTTTTTAAAATTGTTCATGTTTGGTTCGTATTTCTATTTCTACCGATACAAGCAAGTTTAGAGAGGCTAGTCTAGTAAATGTATCATATGACAGTCAGTGACAATGGCGCCTCTTTTCATATGCTTAAGATCCGTTCTAGACCAAGTTTACAGGGTATCTTTAAAATCTGATGATTTGAATATGTTCGTCGTAGTGAGAGATCTCAGTTGTGCATGGATAGACTTATTCGTCCATGGATTTACATATTGTCAGCACAAGTTATTTATGGAAGGGTTTTATTCTTCTGTTCAGTTGAAAAAAGTCACTAGTTGATCTTTTATTTTCTATTTTTCCCGAAGACATTTATAACCAAGTTTCAATTGAATGAGGCCTTCCAATCCAACTTATCGGTGTCATTTGTTGCTTAATTTGTGAGCATGACTTATTTCTTCTCACAAATTACTATGACTTTTTCATCATGGAAGGTTGTTGGGAACACCAACAGAGAAACAGTGGCCTGGAGTTAGTTCACTGAGGGATTGGCATGTGTATCCACAATGGGAACCTCAGAACTTGGCTCAATCTGTTCGATCACTGGAACCTGATGGAGTTGACCTTCTATCAGTAAGTTCTTAAGCTCAAGCTTTTGTCTATGTACGTTTAAATTTTGCTGTCAAGTTCCAGTTGAGATTGATAATAGTTATATGGTGCTACTTCCATTATGGTGCAAAGCACATCTATCTGTTTTATGTGCAGCAACGAAAAATTGAACAGTAGATGAGTCATGATTATTACTGCATGCATTTGATTGTCTTTAGATATTTATTTTCTTCACTATAAAAACTCCTTCAGCTATCTGTTGAAGGAGAAGTATGCGATTCATAGTTTGTTTAGTCTATTGGCATAATTCTATTGAAAATTTGTTTGCTGAAAATTGCGAGACTAATGTTATTTTTGATTAATGCAGAAAATGCTCAAGTATGATCCAGCTGAAAGAATTTCTGCTAAAGCTGCTATGGACCATC